GGATGGATGGATGGATGGATGGATGGATGGATGGATGGATGGATGGATGGATGGATTGACGGACGGATGATGGATGGATGGATGGATTGACGGAGGGATGATGGATGGATGGACATGTTGACTGACTGAAAAACATCAAACAGCAAATATAGCAGAATATAGTGAGCTAAAAAAAACAGCAATTTAATCTGTAGGGTCAATTTAGATGTTGCCAATGAAAAATTAAAGTTATTGAAATAGATTAGATCCTAATTAAGTCTGCAATTGTGTGTTTTTGCTACACCTCACTCATTTACAAAAAAAATTCTGCCAGTCACTAATACCTTTTTATGTCAGCAACAGATATTTTGTCCATGCATGCAATTAGAAGCAAAGTTACATTTTCCACATGCTGACGATGATCTTATTTTGAGGAGTTAGCTGAAGTTGTGGGCAAATTTAAGCCTTATTACTTCCTTTTTCTATAGTATTTTCTTACTAGCTGACGTAGTTCGCCTAATGACATTATTCATTGTGGTTTGAAAAGCTGACAAAACTTTGTTCAGAGGTAATTGTAATGTTTCACTATACCTCACCCTTCTTGTAAGCCCTCCAAAGCCTATAGTACCAGCTGCATTTCTTTGTCATTTGTTTGTTCTGTGCTGTTCTTTAACAAAGAACAGTTGGATTTATGCAAATCATAAATTATTCACAGGAGGATTGCTTTAACTAAAGTAATAAGTTGTTGGTTAAACTAAGGCGTCTCAGAGTAAATGGGGCTTCATGCAAATGAACAACACCCCTTTGCTTCCACTTAAAAGTTATATAGCATGTGAAGTTTTGCCTGATAAGATCCCAGTGCACTGCAGTCAATTTAAAGGATGTACCACGACAGAATGTAAACAAATTCAAACATATTATAGACATTTTTTTGACATGTATAATTAGTATAACTGTGCAAAATAAAGAATAAATGAATTCATAAGACAAGCGGCGACCAGAGCGCTAGCAAAAGCGGAGAAAATTCATGATATATTTCCAAACCCTCTTTACATTGATTGTAGTGTGTGATTATAAAAGCAGAATGAGATGAAACTATAATGCAAGTGACAGTGAAGGGCTTCTTTAAAATACCAATTGCCTGCATCCGTTTAAAACAAACAACAGCAAAAACCCATCAAGGCAGTTTACTCTGCAATCAGTCCTTGCAGAAGAAAAGCTTCCTGCCTTATTTTTGATTCTATGGCGTATAACAAGCCTGCTAAGCATTTTCTTTGAAGCCACAAAGCAGAGCTAAACTGAAAAAAAAAACATTTACAGGGATCAGGTAATGATTGAAAACACGATAACCAAGAGATAAATCTCATGTTTTAATGTTGATAGCACCCGAAGTCCAGCAGGATTTTAATGGAACCAGTCATCCCAGCCAAAGAATAAATAAATGTTTCTTTATTACACCTAAAGAAATGTCACATTTGCACGGTAGAGGAAATAACATAAAGAATTTCCACTAAAATAATGACGGCATTTGTTTTGATAATTTTTCAACATCTCAAAACAGCTTCTGTGAAACAATTGTGTAAGATAGAAGTTAGTCAGACATCATGGTTCCTTTTGGAACCAGTTTCCTTCTGTGTTTCCTTTGGTGGTTATAGCTTCCTATTTTGACGACACTAGTAATTACATCAACATTACACTCTGATCTCTTTTTTATTCTACTTCCAGCAAATTTAGGAGCATGTTAAAAAGAAGTGCCACCAAATTCATGATAGTGGATTATAATAGTTTAAGATATGTGTGTATGTGATACATGAGGATTTCAGATTCACACTTAGACAGGGTAGCAACTTCCTTCCTGAATTTTTAAAAAGGGAACTTCAAGCTTTAGCAAGAAAGAACACAATTTGCCCAGTAGAGTACGTCGGGGCAGAAAATCATTTTCTCCCCTCTTTCGGACATGGTTGTACGATACTTTATACACCTGTTTGGTGTTTTTGTACCTTTTCTTCTCATACTGTTCCAAGGTAAATCCCTATTTTATGTTCTTTTATTTTGCTGTTGTTTGTTGTTTGCTCGTTGGCTGGACTTGTATGGATCTGTCTTCTCTACATAGTGTCATCCTGCAACATCAAAGTCACCGGTTACATTGGACAAGATGTTACCTTGCCCTGCATTTATGATGCCAAAGCTCATGGAGTTCTAAGTTTCTGCTGGGGACGCGAGAAGGTCCCCACATCCAAATGTTCTGAAACAATCCTGTCATCGGAATCTGGAGATGTGACTTTTAGAAAGTCCCTCAGGTACCAACTGCTGAGTCGGGTGACGCAGGGTAATGTTTCCTTGACCATTCTCAGTGCTCAGAGAGAAGATGCTGGTGACTATGGCTGCAGGGTGGAAATTCCTGGATGGTTCAATGACCAAAAGACCAACATACAACTAAACATGGAAGAAGGTAAAGCTCGTGTATGGGACATCAGTATCTATGGAAATTTCCCAACTGGTTCATTGGATGAAGGAATTCCAGTCTTTAGCAGGAGTTAGTGGACAGGGCTCCAGCTATCACACATTCTCCACATACAGTAGAATACAACCTTCAGCTCGGATTGAATCAGTTACAGAACAACCAGTTTATGAACTTATTATTTCCTCTCTTCAGTACTATCCTGCTGAAGGTGGAATCATGGTGAAGCAACCAAGGTGTGTTAAAAGGGAATGCCAGTTTTTTTTTTTTTTTTTACATTGGCTCCTTGGTTTTACATTATTACTTCATATTCTACTCACCCATATGAGTTTTGTGTCATTTGGAGCTGTTCTGAAGATATTCCGTTAGGTTATATCAAAGTAACGTCTTCCTATGGGCAAAGAGTTGAAGACAAGGTTTTATTTTTTTATATTTATATTTTTTTTAAACAAAGCAGAGTGTGTATGACGTCATCCGCACGCGCCAGCTACCGTTCATTCATCCTGTCCGCTCAACTGCTGCTAGTTTTACTCACGTGCCTGGAAGATGTCTAGTGCTAGAGTCCTGCAATAGGTCGGGACGGGTCACCCGCTAGAATGCTCTTTTGCGGGTGATAAATACATAAA